TGGGTCCACCAGACTGCTGGCCAGGCCGGAGCGACGCGAAGCTGCGAGGGCCGAACGACGCTGCTTGCAGTTTTAATTTACTTGTTATTTTTTGAAAATGATTGGCATCTCTGTGTTTCAGAGATGCCAGCAAAATGTGAAAATTGTCTTCCTGCATTAAGCGCTGATAGAAAATAGCCAGAGAAACTATCTGATTAGAAAAGTGAGTCAGATCTGCATCACTTTGGAAAAACTGGCTTCCGACGGAGGAAGGCTGTTGTTGGATTTAGCACTTCTCGGCTAGTAAAAGCTAACCATTAGCGTTAGCTACTCCACAACATGGCAGAACTGCTCCAGCTTGTTATTTATGAAGATAAAGCATCAATGTTGCAAAGCAAACTGAGTCAGTGGTAGAGTCTCATAGCTGTTATCCAATCAGCATCAAGATGTCCTAATATCAGGAAAAAAGACTCCAAATCCTGCCGTCTCCTGCTCCTCACTCCTCTGGCTAACTTCTAGCTCTTGAAACAGGAGTGCCAGAGCTTTTGCCCCACAGAGGCATTCATTTATACTGGAGACCACTGCAAATTTGTGCAAAAACTTAGTGAACTGTAGTGAATTTGGTCTTTAACATTATACTCTCTAATATATTTTTTCCGTTTCTGGAACAAATACAAGCTGTTTAACCATTTTTGTTACTTAAACAGCATTTATTAATCTAGTTGCATGAATTGGGATGAAGATCATCAGTAGTATTTGTATGTCACATTTTGACTCGCAATAGGATGAGCACAGATGTGGTGTGAAGGACTGCATTTCCTTTTTGAAGCTATGCTGCATGCTGTTTTATGACCCTGCTAAAATAAAAAATGGTAAGCTGTCCCTTCTTTCCTGCTTTTGCAAGTCAGAAATATCAGCTTTAAAATAGCAAGTCATTATTTTCTGCGTCTCATTAAATTCTGCATGTGGTGGTAGTGGCTCTTCTCTCTTACAACTCCAAATTTGATCGCCATGTTTGTGTTTACTGATGTCGCACAGCTGTGGCAGACATCCTGAATGGGAATTACTCCTAAATTGGTCAATTGTGACAGTAACATATATTTGGTGAGATTGATTATAATCCATTTTATTCCTAGTCTTCGTCTTCTTCGTCTTCCTCCCCTTATCCGGGTCCGGGTCGCGGGGGCAGCATCCCAATTAGGGAGCTCCAGGCCGTCCTCTCCCCGGCCTTGTCCACCAGCTCCTCCGGCAGGACCCCAAGGCGTTCCCGGACCAGATTGGAGATGTAACCTCTCCAACGTGTCCTGGGTCGACCCGGGGGCCTTCTGCCGGCAGGACATGCCCGAAACACCTCCCCAGGGAGGCGTCCAGGAGGCATCCTGACCAGATGCCCAAACCACCTCAACTGGCTCCTTTCGATCCGGAGGAGCAGCGGTTCTACTCCAAGTCCCTCCCGAATGTCCGAGCTCCTCACCCTATCTCTAAGGCTGAGCCCGGCCACCCTACGGAGGAAACTCATTTCGGCCGCTTGTATCCGCGATCTCGTTCTTTCGGTCATTACCCAAAGCTCATGACCATAGGTGAGGATTGGGACGTAGATCGACCGGTAAATCGAGAGCCTGGCTTTCTGGCTCAGCTCCCTCTTCCCCACGACAGATCGGCTCAGCGTCCGCATCACTGCAGACGCCGAACCAATCCGCCTGTCGATCTCCCGATCCCTCCTACCCTCACTCGTGAACAAGACCCCGAGATACTTAAACTCCTCCACTTGAGGTAGGACCTCTCCCCCGACCCGGAGGTGGCAAGCCACCCTTTTCCGGTCGAGAACCATGGTCTCAGATTTGGAGGTGCTGATCCTCATCCCAGCCGCTTCACATTCGGCCGCGAACCTACCCAGCAAGAGCTGAAGGTCAGAGCTGGATGAAGCTAGGAGGACCACATCATCCGCAAAAAGCAGAGACGAGATTCTCCTGCCACCAAACTCGACACACTCCACACCACGGCTGCGTCTAGAAATTCTGTCCATAAAAGTGATGAACAGAACCGGTGACAAAGGGCAGCCCTGGCGGAGTCCAACCCTCACTGGGAACAGGTCCGACTTACTACCGGCTATGCGGACCAAACTCACGCTCCTCTGGTAAAGGGACTGAATGGCCCTTAACAGAAAGCCACCCACCCCATACTCCTGGAGCGTCCCCCACAGGGTGCCCCTGGGGACACGGTCATAAGCCTTCTCCAAATCCACAAAGCACATGTGGATTGGTTGGGCAAACTCCCATGCCCCCTCCATCACCCTTGCAAGGGTATAGAGCTGGTCCACAGTTCCACGGCCAGGACGAAAACCACATTGCTCCTCCTCTATCTGAGATACAACTATCGATCGGACCCTCCTCTCCAGTACCTTGGAGTAGACCTTTCCAGGGAGGCTGAGGAGTGTGATCCCCCTATAGTTGGAACACACCCTCAGGTCACCCTTCTTAAAGATGGGGACCACCACCCCGGTCTGCCACTCCCTAGGAACTGCCCCCGATGACCACGCAATGTTGTAGAGACGTGTCAACCATGACAGCCCTACAACATCCATAGCCTTGAGATACCCAGGACGAACCTCATCCGCCCCCGGGGCTCCGCCGCTGTGTAGTTGTTTGACTACCTCAGCAACTTCTGCCCCCGAGATCGGACAGTCCATCCCCAGGCCTCCCAGCTCTGGTTCCTCCTCGGAATGCGCATTGGTGGGATTGAGGAGCTCCTCAAAGTATTCCTTCCACCGTCCGACTATAGCCTCAGTTGACGTCAGCAGCTCCCCATCCCCACTGTAAACAGTGTGAGCGAGTTGCTGCCTTCCTCTCCTGAGGCGCCGGACAGTTTGCCAGAACCTCTTTGGAGCCGATCGATAGTCTTTCTCCATGGCCTCACCAAACTCCTCCCACGCCAGAGATTTTGCCTCGGCAACTGCCACTGCTGCACCCCGCTTGGCTATCCGGTACCTGTCTGCTGCCTCCGGAGACCCACAGACCAGCCACGCCCTGTAGGCCTCCTTCTTCAGCCTGACGGCTCCCCGAACCTCTGGTGTCCACCAGCGGGTACGGGGGTTGCCACCACGACTGGCACCGGCCACCTTACGACCACAGCTAGCAACAGCCGCCTCGACAATCGCAGAGTGGAACAAGGCCCACTCGGACTCAATGTCCCCCACTGCTCTCGGGACGTGGTCAAAGCTCTGCCGGAGGTGGGAGTTGAAGACCGTCTTGACAGGTTCTTCTGCCAGGCGTTCCCAGCAGACCCTCACTATGCGTTTGGGTCTGCCAGGTCTACGCGGCATGTTCCCTTGCCATCTGATCCAACTCACCACCAGGTGGTGATCAGTTGACAGCTCCGCCCCTCTCTTCACTCGGGTGTCCAAAACATACGGCCGCAGGTCAGATGATACGACTACAAAATCTATCATCGACCTGTGACCTAGGCTGCCCTGGTACCAAGTGTACCGGTGGGCATCCTTATGTTCGAACATGGTGTTCGTTATGGCCAAACTGCGGCTTGCACAGAAGTCCAATAACAAAACACCGCTCGAGTTCAGATTAGGTGGGCCGTTCCTCCCAATCACACCCCTCCAGGTCAAGCTGTCATTGCCCACGTGAGCATTGAAGTCCCCCAGCAGGACAATGGAGTCCCCTGATGGAGCACTATCTAGCACTCGTCCCAGGGACTCCAAAAAGGGTGGGTACTCTGAACTGATATTTGGCCCATAAGCACAAACAACAGTCAGGACCCGTTCCCCGACCCGAAGGCGCAAGGAAGCTACCCTCTTGTCCCCCGGGGTAAACCCCAACACACAGGCAGAGAGTCTCGGGGCTAACAAAAAGCCAACCCCAGCCCTCCGCCTCTCACCCGGAGCAACTCCAGCAAAGTAGAGTGTCCAAACCCTCTCCAGGTCTCGGGTTCCAGAGCCAATGCAATGTGTCGAGGTGAGTCCGACTATATCTAGCCGGTACCGCTCAACCTCTGCCACAAGCTCCGGCTCCTTCCCCGCCAGCGAGGTGACGTTCCATGTCCCAAAAACTAGTTTTCTTGTCCGGGGATTGGGCCGCCAAGGCTCCCGCCTTGGTCTGCCACCCGATTCGCATTGCACCGGACCCTTCATGTTCCTCCTGCGGGTGGTGGGTCCACAGTTGGACGAGCCCATGTATCCGGTTCGGGCTGGGCCCGGCCGGGCCCCATGGGCGAAAGCCCGGCCACCAGGCGCTCGCTCACGGGCCCCAACCCCAGGCCTGGCTCCAGGGTGGGACCCCGGTAACCCTCCGGGCCGGGTACTCCGACTCTTCGTTTTAACCGCCATGAAAGATCCTTCGAACCGTTCTTTGTCTCACCCTTCACCTAAGACCAATTTGTCATGGGAGACACTACCAGGGGCACTAAGTGCCCCAGACAACATAGCTCCTAGGATCATTAGGGACACTCAAACTCCTCCACCACGATAAGGTGACGGTTCAAGGAGGAGTCTAGTCTGATTCCTAGTCTTATAGTATATTAAAGTTTAATCATTCATTACTAACTTGAATGAAGCAATAAGCGAGCTATTAATTTAGAAGTTTGCCCCTTCCATCATTTGTTATTTTCTTTAACTTGCTCATTTGTAGCGAACCATTTTTGCATAATTTAGTCACCTTTTAAAATCACACAGGATGTGGATTTGTTTATTCTGTAGCAGGCGTTGTCTCATTTGGTGGCAGAAGGGCTGAGTGTTGACAGCTGAAGCAGCCCTGGCTCATGTTTCAAAGTTTGACTGATTTATAGTCCACCTTTAAGCTGCAGCATACAGCCATCGGTCTCTGTTTCAACTTCTCCGGGGTTTGCACAGCGGTTATACAGCCCATAAAACACAAGGAGCACTCAAGTTAGCTGGAGACTTAGTTGTGAGGTTAATGAGCTGATCTCAGTCAGGGTCACAGGGCTGGACTGTGAATGTGTTTCACACCTCTTGGAAATAAATCCTCAAAAAGCAACAAATTCTCTTTCAACAGGTTTCTCCACACTCTCGCTGGCAGACCAGATGAGTCTGCTGCAGAGTGCCTGGATGGAGATCCTGGTGCTGAGCATCGTGTTTCGCTCGCTGCCCTGCGAGGATGAGATTGTGTATGCGGAGGACTATGTGGTGGACGAGGAGCAGGCCAGGATCTCGGCCCTGCTGGACCTACATGTTGCCATCCTGCCGCTGGTTCGACGCTACAAGAAGCTGCGCATGGAGAAGGAGGAGTTTGTCACGCTCAAAGCCATCGCACTCGCCAACTCTGGTAAGCAACAAACCCCAGACTTGATGAGTATAGGCGCAGCCCTTTGGTGTAAAAATCACAAACCTTAACAGATTAAGTAAGGCAAAAGATGAAAGATGTCCTTAAATGTCCCTTAGAATTAAATAAATGCTCTCAGTGCATTGCATACAGCACACCTACACTGTAAAATCTGACTAGTTCACCTTACTTGGAAAAAAGGAAGCCAGTTACTTAAATAGTAAAATACACTTAAATGCTAATACTAATGGTGCATTCCAGTTGTCCTCAGAACTTGTTTTTCCAAGATAAGTCAGCCAGAAATGATGCAATGAACTCGGAATACCAAACTGCGAGCTCGTACGTTTCAGAGATCCCAAATTTAAAGATCGCTGAGCTCAGTGTTACCAGGAAGTAGTCGTCTTTTTTTCCCGTCATTTATATGTTGTGTTTTCTTTCTTGTTGCCACGGGCCGGTAAGTTGTTTATCGTTATCAATGGTTATGTTATTGAAAAATGTAACATTGCTGCCAGAATTGACCATTGTTTATGGTTTTTACTTTTCCTGGCGTTTATATTTTTACCTTTGATTTGTAATGTTTCTCTGGTTGTATGTGGCAACTGTCGAAGAGTGAGTGTGTTTCACTATTATGTAGATGCAGATAATAACCGGTTGTGTAGTTGTTTGGGTTTAGTACTCAACAACTCTGGTAGTATCCATTTTTTCTGAGTTGGAAGCTGGAACGCAAAACGAGCCTGTTACGTCATTTCCTGCTCGGAAATTCCGAGGACAACTGGAACGCACGATTAGACAAACCATTACAATGTATTTGGAAATTTGCTTACTGAACTACTAGCTGTAGCGTTGGGAAGTTTATAATGGTCTGCCCTTAACAGCTGCCCCTTCACACAGTAACACCGCCAAGGTCGGACGCTTGGTTCAGTATGTTCTAATCACAACATAGTTCTGAGTTGTATATACTGGGGCAGTAGTATAAGGGAACATTATACTGATTTGGCTTAGTTGCATTTCAGTACATTTTACTTTGTATGAATTAGTAGCTCCAACACATAAAAACATACTTCTGTGTACTTATTATTTTAAATGTAGAGGCACGCTCAGAGGAGTTTAAACATGAGTTCAACCTGTAGACAAACTAACTGGATTACCTTTTTAGTATTTGTTGCACATTTATGTTATTAATGACTAAATAAACAGATTATCCTGACAGGTCGCCCCTTATTTAAAGTGACACGCCTTTCTCTTTGTTTTGCGGTATACTGGTCATCAGCCCTTGTAGCCGGGTTGTGCACTGGGAGACCAGTAAGTATTGTGTATAAAATTACATTTAACTGAGAGATATCTGATGTCTGCTCCATTTCTTTATTTCCACAAATAACTATTAGTCAAGAACACATATCTCCATATTAAATCTCAAATAAATCAATATAGTGTTTTTTTAATTAAACAAAAAGATAAAATAGACAAAAAATGTGGAGCGTTGATCTGTATCTTGTTGAACCGTCGCTTTCACAATAATGGTCCCTGATAAGAGTGGACGTAAAGGTCAGGAGCGTGGTTGCTTTTCATTCACACCGTGTGTGTGTGTGTGTGTGTGTGTGTGTGTGCGTGCGTGCGTGCGTGCGTGCGTGCGTGCGTGTGTGTGTGTGTGTGTGTGTGTGTGTGTGTGTGTGTGTGTGTGTTGCTATATTTTAATTTGTGTGCAGATACATGTGTGTGACTGTCACATCGTGCTCTCATTCCCTCCATCTCCATAACAGTGGCTGCCAGCATGCCTCAGCCCAGGGAGATATATTTAGCATTTCATTAGAAAAACAGGGGCTGTCAATAAAATGTGTTAAGTGGAGTGGAATGAGCGTCAGGGAGCGACGGGCCTCGTTTGTTCCAATGTGAAGATGCTGCGCCCGTATCGACAGTTTGCTTTTCATGTGGCTGGGCCTGTCCCCCCACTAATCAATGACTGTTAGGAGTCTTTTCTCTTGCCTGACTGGAAAAAAAATTGGAAAAATGCTGAGCTGAGAGCTTTAGCCTTCTGACGACAAACACTCCATGGGAGTGTGGGGATAAATGGGGAGGGGAGGTGATGTAAAGGAGAAGTGTGGGAGAGGCAGGGCTGAGAGGGAAGCTCAGGGAGGGTGAGAGGGCATCTTTTGGCTCGTTTGAACAAAGTCTCGCAGAGCTTCGCCTTCACCGGTTCGGTGGGTGTGACAGCTGTGGAAATTTATGGCCATTGATTTTGTAATTAGCAAAGTATCGACGGAGATTGACGCCAGGCTGCTGACGGATTACAGGAAATTGTTGCTTTAAAGTTAGTTTTTTATTCCACCCTCAAACACCTTGAACGCACGCACACACACACACACAGATGAAACACACTGACGCATATATGAAACGTTTGACTTTTTTGTACCATCCCCCCCCCCCCCCCCCCCCCACACACACACACACACACACAAGAACGACGATCAGATCAGCATCAACATGAAGGCTTCAAAGGAAGAGTGCTGGAACACATGTGCGGTCCACATAGCCTAGTTAATTTCCCAAGATAGAAATGCAATTTACACAGAAGGCGACTGGTAAAAGAGACTTAATCAGTCAGTTAGGAACATAATTAGCCTTCTACTTCCCTCTTTTTTCTGCCTCATTTACATGTTCATACATGGGCTTAACTTCACTCTTTAACAGAGCTGATCTAATTCACCCAGACACACTTCAGAGGAGTCCAGCTCTGTTTGGTCACAAAAAGTTTTGCTGCAACATTTAACCTGACGATGCTCAGTGAAAGTCTGAATCGCTGCGATGATAAAAACTCTGCATCAGCTCCTCCTTTGCTGGTACACACACTCACACACACCAGAGCATTTGGATTTATACACAGAGAGCAGTTTTAAATAAGTTTCAACTGGTTTTCTTCTAGAGCCCATACATAAGGGGGCCAACTGCTCTTTCTTATGGAAATGAAGGCCATCTGCCACCATCATTCAGATGAACGATATCCTAGTAATGCAGCCATCTGAATTCATTAGCAAAGTGGGGGGATGTACGTGGTCCACGATACTAAAAAGAAATGAATCTTTTTTCTGTTCCAACGTATATTTATTCAGACCTGCAGTGCCTCTCTCTCACTCTCCCCAGAGTCTCGGCCACGCAGGCTTTTATTTAAGGAACATCATTAACTACTAACAAGAGAAAAGCTCTCTTTGAAATTGCGTGTTTGCATTTACAAGCTGTGGCATGTAAAACTGACTAGCGCAGCTGCAGAACAGGTAGCTGCAGCTGCACGCTGGTTTGCAGACATCAAAATTATTTTCTTTTAACTATAAATGATAGGATGTAACAAAAAAATCATGCATTTGTTATTTGATGACATCTTATTTTCTATTTTTCCATCCACAACGCTTCCCTCGTTCCAGACTCCATGCACATAGAGAACATAGAGGCCGTCCAAAGGCTCCAGGATTCTCTACACGAGGCCCTGCAGGACTACGAGGGCTCCCAGCACCCCGAGGACCCCAGACGGGCAGGCAAGCTGCTGATGACCCTTCCTCTGCTTCGTCAGACCGCCACCAAGGCTGTTCAACACTTCTACAGCATTAAAATGCAGGGCAAAGTCCCCATGCACAAACTGTTCCTCGAGATGTTGGAGGCCAAAGCCTGACATCTGTGTCAGACGCTCGACAGACGGCTGCATCATCCAATCAGAGACGATGGGACAGTCTTTACAAGAAATAAAGGTGGAGTGCCAACTGACAGTAAAACGATGCAACATGAGCTCTGGAGTCATTTTAAAACTTTTGAACAACTAAGGTGAATTGGACTTGCTGCCTATCAACCTAACTGAGCTGGGATGATGATTGTGTAAATAAAGACATTGTGTACAGAAATCTAGCACTGAGGTCTTGATATAACCACAGACCCATTGCTCTATATCACCCGAAGCTTCTGTGAATTTGTTTCTTATTTTGACTTATTCTGAAAAAGAAAACATAATATAAATGTGAAACAGAACTGTAAAGGTGATGTAAACGGTTTGTGTTTCGGTTTGCTCATCTCATTTTCTGATTTCAGCCATTAAAGGTGTGGAACACTCGTTTAATCAATACATTTGCAGTGGTCCCTAGTAGGAATAAATGTCTCGTAAGTCGTACTCTGGAGGAAAAAAGTCCCGGTGCACCAGTTTCAGGAACCAGCAGGTTGCCAGATCACAGCTGCTCTGATTCTCTGCTGTTTCCTGGACGCTAAACCAAGAACAACCTCCCCCGTCACAAGTTTGGACGGGTGAGTCCACAAATGTTAAGTGATGGTGACGTAGATCTCTCAGGACTTTCTAATCCTAGAGTTTCATAGTCTATTCTTTTTTATCAGAAATGCAGGAAATTGGTGTAGGAGACTATTTTCATGCTCAGCCTGCATGAAAAAACTCAGTGACTGATTATAATCAGAAATAATAATAAAAATATGTTTTTTGTTTGTTCCACACCTTTAACGCCATAGTCTCCAACTGGTCTACAGATGATGTACTGTATATTATGTGAAATTGCACTGGGCACAGGGAAGAGTTGTTTAACATATTCCTAAATTTGTCATTGAAGAAAGTGGCATTGAAATTCCTTTACCTCGTAACTTCACTGACTCAATGGTTTAGTCGCTTTAGTGGGACATGAGGGACACTTGCTGGCTAACGACCATTGCTAAACATTTGCACTAAGCATCCGTGAACATGGCTAAACCTAATTATAATGAAGCTAGCTATGTCTGAATCTCAGTTGACACTTCTGCATCAGTCAGCAACGTGTGCTGACTGCTAAACATACTGTGAAACTTGATCAGGGGGGTGATACGCTAGATCTTCTGCTGTTTCTGTGGTTCAGATCTTAAGTGACTTTCTGTGGAAGAATTGTGCTCAATTAATCTATTTCCTGTTGTGGAAAGCTTGCCTAACAACCTCAGTTTGTAGAATTAAATTAGTTTTGCCTATGAAAACAAGCTAAGAGCTAAGACCGTGATAGAGGTCCGCCATATTTAAACAGCTCTCAGTTTTTTTAATTTTTTTATTTCAGTGAGTCATCTGTGGTTTCCAGTAGGAATGAATGCGCTCCTCTTTCAGCAAGTAGAATGAAGCCGGAGGAGTGGGGGGCAGAAAACGACTCAGTAATATTCATAATTCTGTTTTATCTCCACAAAAAAACCTGAATGTGTTCATCTATGTTGTGGAGTTGCTAATGCTAATGGTTAGCTTCTACTAGCCAAAGCATGCTCAACACATCAAATCAACACAGCCTTCCACAGATTGTCTGTGTGACGTAAATCTTTGGGGCTTTTTCTGACCCGAGGGTCTGTTTCCTTTTGGCGGCTAATGCAGGAAATAGGGGTCCAAAACTATTTTCATGTTTTGCGAGTGACACTTAGCGTGCTTTCAGGTGTATTATACGTTTGACAGTTTCAAATCAGAAAATCAATACTAATGTCAAAACAAGGTATTTGGACTGATGACTTTTGCATCTTGAGGGTCTGTAATTCTTCTTAAATGATAAATGACCCGCACTTGTATAGCGCCTTTCATAGTCAGAGGACTCCAAAGCGCTTTACACTACAGTGCATCATTCATCCATTCACACACACATTCACACACTAATGGTGATGAGCCACTATGCTGCCCGGGGGCGTACTCTGGCAATGAACCCCCTCCTGTCCGACAGCAGGTCATGGAAAAAGATCGGACCCCCCCCCCCCCCCCCCCCCACTCCCATATGGCAGAATGCGCTGCAATCCAAGATTCTGCTTAAGGCACCATCCATTTGTAAAATGTACCGATCATTATTCAACTCTTATTTCAGATGATTTTACCTCACCAATTTAGACCCACAGTTACTCAGAATGCAGTATGCTGAGGAAACCGCTCTGTTTCTCCGAGCTGTGGCCCTTCAAAGAGCCATCTACCACGGGTCAGATACTAGTTGTTCATAGCCTGTCCACCAGAACCATCACTTTGAGAGACACCATCAATAACACAAGCTGTGTCTGTTTAATTAATAGCAATAAATGCCACCATAAGGTGCTTATGTGACACTGTCTCAATAAGAGTCATTTACAGAATCCATTCAGGGCTGATGTTAAAGCTGCAAACCTTGATTTGCATGAGCTATAATGCCTCAGATTGGCTTGCTTTGATGAAATAATCATTCTCAACATCCTTACACCAACTACAACCAATTTTGGCTCAAATTCAGAGCTAATCAGGGCAGTTTTTGCAGCATCTTCAACAGACATCAAAGTCTAGACTTTCTGTTCTTTGCACGGACTTGTTTGTTTTAAAAAAAAAACAACGGATCAATTAAGTGGTTTTGAGATTGTGTTTCAGGCTCCATGTAACCAAAACCTGCTTGAGCCTGATTGCTCAGAACAAATGGAAACCAAAATCCGGTCACTTGCCTACAGATTTTTGCAGATTTGATTTAATCAATAATTAAAAATAATCGTGAAAACTTTGCTTTGTTTCGGTTCAAAGTCGTATTTGTGATCTGTGAGTAACTCTTCTGTTCAACCTGGATTTTTTTAGCTGGTACTTTTATTTATTTTGGTTAAATCTGGACGACAGGATCAATATTGGGTCACTTAAATTGTGCAAATTGTAATAATTTATCATAACTGGTTTATATAAGAGGGGGTGGTGCAAATATTTTTTATTGCATCTAACTGAAAATTTTATATTATTTTTACTTTTTCTAACGCTCACATTTTTGGGAGGAGGTGGTGTTAATCACTCAGAAGGGCACTGTGTACAAATACACTCATAAAAATGTAATCTAGACTTTTAGATGAATATTTAATCTGCCATAAACCAGTTGCCAAAATAATCAGTCAAGAATCTGCATAGTTTAAACAGTAACTAATAAAATAATAAGAGTCCTGATATCCTCATCAGTTTAGAGACGTGTTATCATTAGATCATAATAATAAATTAACCAGCTGCTTGCAGATGTTTGTTACAAAAGCAGCTGTTTTTAGAGTCAAGTGCCATAAAACACATTGACCAGATGATCCCCGTAGGGATGCTATTGATTAACGTTAATGGAATGCATAGATAATTATAACCAAATGCCATAGAGAATACAATTCCCATGGTGCACCTCCCCAGTTGTTAACCAGGTAATCTATGCTGAGCTGAATTGACTGATGTGTTATTAATACCTTAATGTTATTGTTTAAATGTGATCAAATCCAGTGATGATGGTGATTTTGTTGACTTATTCATAGATAACAGAACAAAGTCAAATCATAATGCAGATGTGAAACTACAGCATCGACCCAGATCATTGTTTCCCAATTTCTCCCGCTCCCAAATTATTATTAGACAATAAAACTTTCTTTTAAAAAAAATCTTAATTTCCTTTAAAACTTCCTAAATAGTTCTACATCCAATTAACTCTAATTGTTCCCTCAGCTGAAAATCTCTTTAGAAATGGAGCAATTAAATTCCAGCTTTCACTCCATCTTTGGGGAAAAGAGACATTTTATTCAAGTCGACGTTGGGGAGTTTTTTTGTCTGAATCTTTCCAAAGATGATTTCATGGGTGTCTGTAACAGTTCCCAAACAGATGCGATCACTGGGCTATGCAAGGCGAACTCGGCCCCTGTGTTTCTGTTTCTTTTAGTCCTGAAGCATCAGAGCAGCACTTGTTTGTTTACAACGTGGACGAACTGTTGTGCGTTGTGCAAATTTGACAATACTAAACTGTAACTGCGGTGCATCGACGTGACAATGATCATTTGTTCTTTTTGCCACTTTGATGCATTCTCATGTGGGATTAGGAGCTTTGATGCATATATACAGCTTGTAGAAGTCTCCATTCATTGTATGTCATTGTGTCTCTGAGTGTTGAAACATCTTCTCTGTGTTTTTGGTTATCAGCAAAGCAGAATGTATAGCGACTAAAATTGTCTAGACCCTATACCTCAATTCATATTTTGAAAATTACACTGGGTTTGGAAGCGGGCCATGGGATCCTCCTGGGAACCAGTGGCACAGAAATAAAGTGACATCACCGACTGGGTATTAAAAAAAATGTAGATTAACTTACTGCAATTGGGGGGGACACATTCCTCGGAGGAGACCGCTACTTATTCGTTGCTCCATTTGCGGACTTACCTCATCTCCATGCACTCCGAGATGACAAGATTTACATAAAACACAGAGGAAGGAACCTCCCCGGCCCATTCTGGTCCGCGGTGTATAAAAGGACCCTGCTAGGTGTGCACACCACAGACATGTGATTACCCAAGGGGCTTCCCTCCTTCAAGAGCAATATTTGTGATATATGAATCAAGTTAAAAGGGAGCTTTGGTGCATTTTAATTGTAAACTTCCCTAGTGCTTGGGAGAGGATGGGCTAATTATTTGCACTGTTCTGGAAAAGGGAAAAAATGGAAAAGTTGGAAGCCAAGCACAGCTGGGACTTACTGGACAGTAGTGCGTTGCATTTTCTTGTGTTTTGTTTGTTGTATTTATGCCCACTGTAATCATGTGTAAATAAAAGGGTTTTTTTGTCGAGGAAAAGGGTGTCGAACATAAAAACAATTTTAAAAATGCACTGAATGTACAGTGACAATAAAACCACATGATTCATGAAATCGCTGCTTTGATGTGTTTTTGTTGAAAACCAACGTCAGCTTCATCAACATGGAAGGAAGTGCCTTTATTAAAGAGAAAAGGTGTCATTTTTACCACCAACCTCTGGAAATATCCATTAAAATGTAGAAAATACCATATTAGCATAAAATCAAGTCTAAAGTTAAGTAAAGGGCGCCATGTTTCCTTCAGGCTGGCTCAGGGTCCTGCGCCTGTTGATGATGTCACACTAGATGATTGGCTGGATTTACGACTTATGGAAGTCACTTTATCACGTTCAAAAACAATTAGGCAGTAAGAAACACGAATTGAATAACAATACTGCTAAACTCTTTCCAAAACAGATGTGAAAGAACAGAAGTGAAAAAAAGATGCTACATATTTTGGCAGAGGTATTGCTGTAGTATGATGATGTCATCGGCAGGCACAGGACCCCGAGCAGATCCAGAAACCATAACGCCTGAAAACTAGCATCAGCATTGCATTCTCTAGATGTAATTAACTGAAGGGCCGAGATTGCATGCTTTCTGCTCCACAGGTAACATTTACCGTAACAGAGACATGGTGTGAAACTACCCTGAAAGGTTTGTACTGCCCCCTAGCGCCAGGAAGCTACACTTTAAATTTACCATTTTAAAGGAGTTGCTGAAGCATGGGAAAAGAAAAAATGCACTTGTCACAATTAATGATTGACAGCTGCTTATCTAGGCTGTGGATGGGTTTTTTACTACAGTACCCTGTTTCTGATGTGAAGGAACTTTGTGTTTATTTAAATGAGAAATAGCAGTTTTGTGTGTCTCTTGATGAGAACTCACGTAAAGCCACAGAAGAAGCACACATTATAATGTTTTTGCATGTTTTTTTGTGCCGTTCCACATCAGGTGAGACAACTATTAACTCCAAAACAGAATATTTTAAGTGCTTATTTTTACACTTTTTCTGAAAGAATATTTCAGCAATTTAGCATCAATAAAACTACCCAACACTAACCGTTTCCTCTCATCAGATGGTTTGACCTCTTATGAAAGGTGACCAGTCGTGTGCGCACACACATGAACACATGTCTGCATGTCTGTGTGCACCGGCACGCTTAGCAAGACGATGCCTCTGGGTGTAACGGCATCCTTCTGCCCCCGACCGTCAGTTTTGGTGACTGTCTGCTGGGTGTCCTGTTTGACCTTGCGTTGGCTACGACACTGGCTGAATGCACATCTGACACACTTTCTTCCTTTGTGGTGCAATCCTGTGGAAGTCATTTCATTTACTCGGCTTTCAACTTCAGCCAGCGTGGGGGTTGGGGGGGTGACTCTGTGTTTAATCAGCCTGCCACAAAGCATTCCCCTAAACAAAATCAACCATGATGACCAGCGGAGGGAAGAGAGGACTGCTTAACTAACAGAAGTCTGAATGAAACAAATAAATGGACTTATTTATTTTTTTCTCATTTTTATTTATCATATTAACTGTAGCGTCATGAATGTCCTGTTTTTGACCTAAAGGTCATGATCTGCTGTGTCTGCTCGAGCAGAGACATAAAGTCTCTGACAGCCTAATCTACATGAGATAGTGGCCAAGGTCTTTCATGCACTCTGCTCATCTGAACTGCTTCACCTTTGTTACGAAGACGAAGATGAAGACCTATTTTGATAAACACATAGACCACGTTTACATGCAGCAAATATCCGGGTTATGATCGGGTTAAGGTCGGTATTCGGGTTTCTGAGTTGATCAGAATAACCCGTTTACAAGCATAAATAGAAAGAGTTACCCCTAACTTGCATAACCCGATTTAAATGCGAACATTGGGGTAGCGTCAAGACGTATGGACTACGTCAAGACGCAATATGCGTCATTTCCGGTTATTCTTGTTCCGGCATCCGTGAAAACAACAACATGTTTCCCAGTTCGGAAGAGATAGCGACCGCGTTTGTTTGCGCTTTAGTTTCCTCGTCACTCCAAAAGTGTGGTGCTGTGCTGCGACTCGCCATGTTGCTCCCAACTTGTTGTTCACTTCCGGTGTTCTGGCGCACACAAGACGTCTCGCTACTCAAAAGACCAAGATTCCTTGCGAACAGAGCATGCGCAGAACACACGCTTTGATGGG